CTCCCTTGTTTCCCTTCAGCTTCTCCTATTTTAGGATAAAGAAATCAAGAAAGAAACCCATTTGTTCACCATGACAGTTTCCCTCTAGCCTACTCCCAATAGATTAATTTTAAATTAGTAGTTGAAATTAAGAAATGTAGAGCACAGATGAAGCTAGTATGAGTTTTACACTTGTGATTTCAGAATGAAGACTTTAAAACCAAAGAAAGGAATTTCAGAATGGCATCGAACCGCAGAACAGCTCTGTAGATAACATAGCAACAGAACAGATATCTCACCAACACCAGCAGCAAAGCTTAGAAAAGCTACGTTTCAGTGCAGCTACTGGGGGCACTTCTGCAAAATCTGCAAAAGATTTCTGTGTTGGGATTGCAAAACCCTTTATAAACAATAAATAACATGAAAATAATGAGTTTCTCAAATTGCAAATACATGTTGAATATAAAACTAACACTGAAAAGCCAGAAAGTACTTTCCAGAGAAAGGGGTAGCAGAACTTTCATTTTCACTGAACTTCATTAACTAGGTTTTAATGATCAGAAGTTCCTCTCACCCAGGTAGAACATATAAAAAGGTTTTCACATGAAAAAAAATAATTAAGAGGATTACTTAGCACATGTGAAAGAACTATCTTCTAGTCACAAGCTTCTTTTTTATCTTACTACGCTTTAATTCCTATACTTTATTCTATACTTTTTTTCTCCCAGAGCTATACTTTTATGTCTTAAACTAGATGCAGAATTTGGAGGCTTCTAGGATCATGCTTTAGGCCTACTCTGTAATTTAACATAATTTGTTATAACTGCTGGACTTATTAAAAAGATTTCAAGGGATAATTTTTAGAATAAAATATAACTCAAAAATTTCTTGCTGATGGAGGGCCCAAAGGAATTCAGATTTGTCTTTATATTCAGCTGTCAAGTGATGGTCGTTTATCTATACGATATATTACATTTTATATCAACTTTCCTTTCTCTGATTAGTATATTTTTTATCTCTGAAATCCACTAGTATTCAGCACAATTCTGATATAATTGCAGAATAACTGTTGAGTATCTTTCTGTAGATTTGCTAACATGTAAGATATGCACCAAAACCCAAAATCTGATGGAGCAACTTAAAGAGAGAATGAAAGGGTTGACTTCTTCTTTTACCACACTAAATGGCCAACACTGTTTTTCTCTGTGTGTCTGGAACATTGAAGGAACGTTTATGTTTCTCTTATGCTATTTATTTCTCTTTATTTAGTTTGTTTATCTAATTCTTTTAAAAATAAACACCTTTTTTCCTCTCATCTTCATCGTTTCATTTTTGTCTGCAAAGACAGTCAGCAATACATAATGAGGAAAAAGAGGTGCTAAGTCTTTAAGGAGGATGAAAGTAAGAAACCACAAAATGTTGCTTACCCTTGTGTGTGGTGGAATATATTTAGTGTCTGAGCAGGTAGTCTGTCCTTGCTGAGACCCAGAACAAAGCAATGGAAGATAAGCAGAAAAAACCCCTTTTCATTAGGACAAGTGAAGACAGAAAGCAGTAAGGTATTATTTTTTTCTCTTGTGCAAGGGGGAGAACAAAAGTCAAGAGTTGTGTGAAGTTAGCATCTCCATGTTAATGATTTGATGTTGATATTTTTTGGCATCACATCAGAATACCTGGAGCACAAAGACTTTTCCGAGAAAGGCTGACAAACAATTAATCACAAAATCATAGAATTATTTAGGTTGGAAGGGACCTTAAAGATCATGCAGTTCCAACACTGCTGCCATGATCAGGGACACCTTCCTCTAGATCAGGTTGCTCAAAGCTCCATCCAACCTGGCCTTGAACACTTCCAGGGGTAGGGTATCTGAAACTTTTCTCGGCAATCTGTTCCAGCACCTCACCAACCTCACAATAAAGAATTTATTTCTTATAGCTAATCTAAACCTACTTTCTTTCAGTTTAAAGCCATTGCCCTTTGTCCTATTACTCCATGCCCCTGTAAAAGGTCCTTCTCTAGCTTTCCTGTAGGCTCCCTTCAGGTACTGAAAGGCCCCAATAAGGTCATCCTGGAGTCTTTTCTTCTCTGGGCTGAAAAATCCCAATTTTCTTAGCCTTTGAAAAATGAGACTTCCTTCAAGAGCACTGTGGAAAAAGTGCATCCCAAACATCAGAGTACTAGAGGTAAAGACAGCACAGTTACAAGCAAATCGGTAGCAGAACAATCAGTATGGTCAAAAGAAGGTGAATAGGCCCTGCTGTTCACCAAAGCATTACAGAAAACATCCAAACTGGAGCTGAAGGAACAGAATGCAGAACCTTGGCTCTACTCTGCAGTCACAAGCTGGACAGTGGGTAGTTTCAACATTCAACAAACCAATGTCCTTTAGGAGCATATTTCAGAATTAAAGTCCTAGCACAATAATCAAAATTAATATTAACAAGTACTGCTTTTTAAATTATCTGTAGGACCAGTACTAGCATAAATTCTGTCCAGTATCAAATACAAGAAAAATAGCCTAGAGAATATGATAAATCAGATTATCCTCTTAGTAAGATAAAGTTTAGCCTGGGCTTTGCTGTGTAACAAAACCACAAAGCTTCATTAGTCCTAATGTATCAGCACCAATAGTAAATTGGAATAGGCAAACATTTCCCCAACAATATATTGGATTTATGTTTCATTTTTAATAAAATACAATGAAGAGAAAGGAGCCAACCCTGAGAATTCTCAGGTGGGTATTCAATCACTGGTCCTTTCACCCTCAAAAAAATTTGAAATTCAACAAGAATTTTTAATTGAACCCCCTGGATTTTAGCTTATGATTTAATCTACCAAGTTGCTAAGGCAACCAACGATTATAGCTGCTGGGCAAAATTCACAGAATTGTTAATCAATCTTAATCTGGATACACTGCATCAATAGTTCTTTCACAGAGTAAACAGACAAAGTTAAGAAAAAAAATTTGAGTTTAATTCTTAAACTCAACTTAAACATACAATGACACTAGACTTGTAAATATGCTTTTCATAACAAACATCTATATTAGAAATACCATCTTTTAAACCAAGTGTTCCAACAGAGGGAAATCTTTTGCTGAGGTTTGTATATCACCCAGTAGTGTGTGTCTCAGAGACATCTAATCAATGAGCTTTTTAATGTGCTCGACTCTCCCTCTGCTCTGAAAGGGGGAGAATGGATTTACCCTAATCGAAGGTTACAGTCACTATTATGATTGTGTTGGAGAATAACCTTTGTATGGTGCTACTTTCAAATCTGTGTATTATTTGCTTGGCCCACTGTATAATGACCAGCCAAGGTATGGTCAAGAACTTTTGCAGCATTGTTCTTTATTCTGTTTTCATCAAGAGCATTAACCAATCACTTAAGATCTCCATGTCTGTTCGAGACTTCTATTTCCTACTTTTCTATCCTCCAGTAGATTGATGCCATTAGACTTAGCTACTACAGAGTGGTGTTGTGAGATCAACTAACTAGAAATCTATTTTTAAAACATTCTTAAAATCAAGTGTTGTGGTTAGCTAATATATAGCATATTAATTTTAATGGCCAGCAGCAGCTAGCCTGAAAATTTATTTTCTGTTATATGATCCCATTAAGTGTCCATAAATTTATGCATCCAGATTTAGCTAACGTAGCATTTATGAGCGTACTTTCATTCTGGTTCAGTCTAATTCACTTTTAAAGTGAGCAACTAAACCTTCTAAACATACTCTGTTAGTGTCTTATTCTTGGAATTTCTTGGAAAAGATGTAGTTAGAGTATATTAAGGTGATATTTTGCACAGTAAGTCAATGCAGTTATTCAATATATTTATTTATTATTACTTAAACTGACATTCCTAATTTGGTGACTGCTCTTCACACTGTTTGCCTCATAAAATCTAGAGTATCTCTTGTTCACTTTGCTTACCTCAACAAATTTAATCTAGAATGCTAATCTACAAAAAAAAAATAGGGACTAGTGCCTATGAAAAATTACCACAGAAAAGCATCATAGGTGAAGGACCCGCCTAAGTTTCACATAAATGCATGTGAAAGACCTTTCGGACTCCACTAGTCGAACAAGAATGTTGCAAGTATACAAATGAAGATGAATTTTCTTTGGCAGCTGATACAGAGAGCAAACTATATGGTCTTTCACCACATTCTGGAATTTATGAAATTTTTTTATGGCAAATAATCCTATCACAACATTCAGAGATATGGTAGGTCATTAATCCTTTTGATATTTAATAATAAATTAATATTGCTTGTGGAAATAGGGATATGTTCCTCTCTTGTAGCACCTGAAACCGGAAGCTCTATTACACACAGGTGTACTTCACTGATGAACTGTGCCCTCATGATTCTACTTCATGAAACTCTAAATGAGATAATGCCCCAAAAGAAAGGAAAACCGTGAAGCTGTGTTTCAGCTGGAAATGTACAATAAACTTCCTTTTTTGCTTCATTCTATTTAAGATGTTTATCCAAAAGATACACTTTTTCCAATTTAGATTTCAAAATCAAAACTGTACTAGACTAGAGAATCATAGAATCATAAAGGCTGGAAAACACCTCTAAATTCATTGAGTTCAACTATTAAAGGTTTTTGATGGAAGGAGTAAAGAAGGATGGAACTAAAACTGGTAGCATGAAATTGTTATTTTTTTAATACTTCTAGTTTGCTCATATATGTGCCTCATCTCTTCTTTCATCTTCACAACAATTTCTTCCTTCTCTTCTCAGTGTTTATAACAAATTTCTCATTTGTTCCAGTCTCTTTTCATTTTATCTACTGTTAATTCATTTTTTTAAAAGACTTCACCCCCCCCCTGCATCTTGTGTTACCTACTACCTTCCTTTCTACCTTACAGCAGTTACTGTATTAAAGTATATTTTCTAAATATGTCTCTGAAGAAACTTGTCTAACTGTTTTAGCTAAGAGAAACACATACTGCACTGTAATGAGGACAAAATCAGATTATCTTTAAAGGCTGAAGCTAAGAAATGTATATAGTTCCAAAAGTATGTTTATATTTGGACTCAATGATCCTAAAGGTCTTATCCAACCTAAATGATTCTATGATTTTATGATATTTTTAATAAGATTTTTAGACTTTTTTTCAAATATATAATACATATACATTCACACATATATAAATCTGATTATCAGCTGGTTTTTAGCCTTCCTAATGAAGTTAGAAAAGACAGAAAGCTTTGAACAAATAAAGGGATTTCTGTCTGAAAGACGGAAATAAAATTGTGCATTCATTTGAAAATTATGATACATTGGAAATTCTTAATAAATTATATGCAATATCATGTACATAACAAAGGATGCTACTTGAGAATAATGCTTAAGAAGTCACAGCTGAAACACTATAAAGTGCTTCACCATTTTTCAAAATCATTCATATAAAATAAATCTTAAAAAAGACCCTTAAATGTAATCCTCCAAAGCTTTTCCATCAGGACAACCTATTTTTAAGCCTTTTTCTCTCTTATCTATAAAAAGTGAAAGGTAGCTAAACAAAATATACTACTGTGCAATAAATGCTTTTTCATCTAAAACACATCAGTACAGTTCCCTTTGAAACTCTATTTTATACCACATGCCTAATTAAAAAGGCACACTGTTTATGCAATTTTAACAATATTCCAAGTAATGGACAATAACATGGCTTTTAGGCTGAAATCCCCATCGACTTAATCAGGACTTCTGCCAAAATACAGATATGACCAATAACAGCTATGCATGCACACAGTTACAGCAAAACACAATATTAAACATTTTGGGTATGCTACTTTCATCACTTGGTATTTCACCATCTTTTTTTCCCCACATTCCAAAATGACTTGCTCACACTTGACAAGAGTTATATTTTGTCTGTCTGATTCTCGGTTTTTCCTTTATTGTTGTTAATTCAAAATGTCATGATAGATCAGGCACGTATAAAAGATTATCATATAGAAGGGAATTTTTTTTTTAAAAAAAGTAAATCAACAAACTATTTAGAAAGGCAAAGTCTACGAAAGATGACTCAGATAAATAGCTTATGAATGACATTTTATAAAGTACTTGTCAGAGAACAGAGTCTACATCCTCTCTAATTAACTACACACTATGTTACAAATGTAAAAATAGAAGTTTTGTCACTTACTCTGACTCTAAATATAAAAAAATTAATATCTAAAGTACTGTATGTAGAACCATTCACAGAAGATTGGACCTTAGAAAGCTCTTCAGAGTGGATTGAATCCTGCTTTTTTTTGCATTTGCTGAGGGGTGAGTGGGGGTAGAGAGAGACAGACTGCAGCCCCTGTAGATTGCAGCATAACAGAGGTGCACAGACCTATGAATTGGTAATTCCAGAATTTGGATTCAAGCTACAGTGGAGTACACCATATGTGATATCCACTAGGGACTTTTACACAGCTTTCGCACTTCCTGAATGCAATATCACCCTGACCTCAGAGCTGGCTGTCAGCACACCAGACACCTCAGCTGCAAAACTTAAGGACTGAAAAATTTAAAACTATATATATTTAAGTGCATTCCCAAATAAGCAGTTAATCATATTGTGCTATTATTTATGAGGATATTGGAGGCAAGAGACTTGTTCCACTTCCCCTGGATTTGTAGAAAGCCAGAAATGGCACTTCTGATCTCTCCCTTCCAAGCCATATTATCTTTAGCCTTTGGAGGACTGTGGTGCTGGAAGGACACATGATAACTTATCCTTAGAAAGCCTGTTAGATGGGGAACGCTAAACAGCCTGAGCATTTCTAAAATCAGGTTTAAACATCAGTGACAAGATAAGTGAGTCTCTGGTTGTTCTTCTTTGGGGGGGGCTGTCTCATGAACATTTATCAAATAACGCAACATATCCTACCAAAAGCAGAATGGGAATGCAGCATATATGCGGCAAAACTGCATATTTTGCCATCAGACATAGATGATTCATTGCATACTCTGAAGGAGTTTACTATTCTAGAGTTCACAGTCCTTCATGTGGAAATTGTATGTACTTATGGTGTGAAGGTAACTTTTATTCTTTATCCTCATAAATCAAAAGAAAGATTAAAAAATAAAAGTATTTCAAGAAAGTCTGTACATATTTTGTCACATATACCCCATAAACCTGCCTGTGCAAATAATGGATTCATGGCTAGGCTTCGCGAATGAAGATTTGGGAAGGCACTATCCACATTTGCTACAGGCACGCTGGTGGCTTATGAGGCCAATACGTGACAGACATATCCGATTGCAAAAGGCACAGCAGAAAGACTCCTTAGATGGTGTATTCTGCAAGGCACGGTTCTTTCTGCGTTGCCTCTTGTCCTCGAGAGTGATCCTGCATGTGTTCTCGAAGGAGACAGCTGCATTATAGATGGTGTGTCTCCAAGCCTCCCGATTTGAGGCCAGAGTAGACCAGTTATGGTGATCAATAAGGCCAAGGCTGAGATGTTGTTTCAGGGAGTCCTTGTATCTTCTCTTCGGGGCTCCTCTCATGCGGCAGCCAGTGGCAAGTTCACCATAGAGCAGGATCTTAGGGAGGCGGTGATCTTTCATCCTTGAGACGTGCCCGGCCCATCGCAGCTGTGTTCTCAGTAACATGGCCTCAATACTTGTGACAGCAGCTTGCTCTTGTACAGATGTATTGGTCACATAATCTGACCAGCAGATGTTAAGGATTGTACGGAGGCAGCGTTGATGCAAACGTTCTAGGAGACGCAGGTGGTGGCGGTAGATGACCCATGATTCGGAACTGTATAAGAGAGTAGACAACACTATGGCTCTGTAAACACTGATCTTGGTGTTTTTCTTCAAGTGTTTATTATGCCATACTCTTTTGTGGAGTTTTCCAAAAGCATTATATGCCTTAGCTAACCTGTTGTCTATCTCTGCATTGATCTTACCATCTGAGGAGATGAGGCTACCAAGGTAATTAAACTGTTGGACTGATTTGAGCTCTGATTGGCCAATGGTGATGTGGGGATGATGGGGGACTTCCTGAGGTGCAGGTTGATGGAGGACCTCTGTCTTCTTTAAGCTGACTTCCAGCCCAAAGAGCTCAGCAGCATCTGCAAAGCAGGATGTTAAACGCTGCAGGGCTGCTTCTGTGTGGGCAACAAGGGCAGCGTCATCAGCATAGAGCAGCTCCCGGACAAGGTAGTTTAATGTCTTGGTGTGGGCCTTCAGTCGCCTTAGATTGAATAGGCTTCCATCAGTACGGTATCGAATGTAGATACCATCCTGATCATCGAGGTCTACTGTGGCCCTGCCTGTGCAAATAATGGATTATTCACTCAATAACAGAACAAAGACAGAAATCAGGTCAGCTAGACCTGAAATATTTCATTCAGTCTAATACAAAAGTTTTTGTCTGGAAGAGGGAACATTACTTCTTTTACTAATTTACTTTTGGATATTTTGTTCCATTTCAGAACGGCAATTTAAAAATACAAGTTCAAAATTATTTTGCATCTTTTAAATAAAATGTTTTGACTTTTTAAAAACAAACCTTACATTAAAAATGTCAATACAAAAAACTGTAATTTCTGATCCTTTTTTCTTCTTTATTCAGATGAAATTATTTGTTGACTTTGACTGGAAAGTTTTAAGGTAATACTGAAATAGCTTTTTGTGGCAAATTTGCTGCTAAAAATGTCACCAGCTCTACTCATGGTAAACATTACATGTAGTTAGATTCTTTGCTTAAAGCTATAATTTCTGACAATAAATATGCACCTCTGATTTTTTCTTGTTTTGTACTGAAAAGTATAGTTTTGTTGCAGCCATGTCACTTAAAAACAAGAAAAAGAAATCAGTTCTTCTCCACATTTAAACATGATACAATTCCTTAAATATTTCAGAAAGATCACAAAATGTTCACTAATTTCATCAGTCTGCTTCTGGAGCAAGCATCAAACTGTACAGCAAAACCAACAAGATACCATCATCTTGTAGGATCAGCTTTTTTGTTTGATTGTCTTTCTTGAGACTATAAACCAATAGGAAAAACCTTACTAATTTTATATGCTCTATAGCAGTAACTCTGGAGCAAGTGAAGTTGTGCACTAACTTGTGCAACCCCTAAGGTGACATCTGAAAATTCCTCCTTCCGTTTATTTGGGGTTTGAACTCAACAAAATGATTATCACCAGCTTTTATAAAAATGAAATTAGTAGACAACCAAATTACTTTCACTAAAATATGTTTTGTTTCTCCCAATACCTGATCTCATCAGTCAATGATGAGAAAGGTGACAGAAATGTTTCAAATGATCCAAATGTTCTCAATGATCTATTTGCTAGAAAAAGGTTAAAGTTTTGTTAGGAGCATGATAAAAGTACATAATAAAATTCATATGTAAAATTTCAAATGATACACACTATAACACTTTATTTTGATTATACATCCAATGAGCTTGTATCTATGCTACAAAAACATAATGTAAAAATAGCAGTGGAGGGTCTTATATATGAGTGAATTGTACAGAACTGAAAACAATACATCATGTTTCCTTTCCATGAAGCATTAAATACCATACCGTCACCAATACAACATTTATTTATTTATTTGTTTGTTTGTTTGTTTATAGATTCTGGTCATCTAGAGCCATATAGTTATAGTCTTTTCACAGAGTAACATATTCTCATAGTTTCACTTGCCATAAGACCTTTGAGTCCAGGAATCAAAAGTAAAAAAATAAAAAAAATCTTCATTATTTCATAACAGCTTGCAACTTTTAAGCACATGTCACCGAGTGTTAAGTCACCTCTTAAGAAGGAATTTAAAACATTGCAGCTTGGTTTTTGTACCTTCTGCAGGTTCCAGAAATTACCCCTGAGCTAGCAGATTTCTGGAGTTTCCAGTCTGTACAACCTTGACAAGGTTATGTATAACAGGTTAGCATGTTCTATTAAACACAGACCTGTTTTATCAGGCAGAGAACTATGGGACAGCAACATGCATTGTGGTCTACAGCTTAACTGAAAACCTTCCTAAATTATAATCTCCT